CCTCATGCATGGTATTTGCATCTCCCATTCTTGTTTTTCATCTTCCTCTTTCCATTCTCGAGTGAATGTTTACAACTTCCTCCAGATGTCCACTTTTTTGTCGATATCACTTTTTCCTTCTGATCCGTTTTATTTACTCATTAGTAATTATCATTTTTTTAGATATTGCCTTTTTAGTCCCTTACTTTCATTCCATAATTTATTCTCTCGCCTCAGTTCATCCTTACGCAATTAACGCTCTTCCCTCTGTTCTTCCCGTTACCGTTTCCCCGAAGGTCGCCGGCCCTAAATGTTATCAAATACGAGATCTCAGGCGTGTTTTGTACAGGCGTTCCCCGGGTTATTGTCTCTGGCGGAGGCGAGGTCACGTGACGAATCCCTCAGTCTCTACCACGAGGTCAAAAAGGTGTGTAACATGTACGAGGTGATGGATACTTAGGACGCTAAAAGAATGGGGTGCGAGAGAGAAGAAATATATATTTCTTCCTGCGTGCCCGGTTGTTTTCTGATTGCATGAATAAATTGACCTCGATTCATGATACGACATGATCCTTGAGTTAATTTATACTAATAATAAAAATTGTGACATCCCCGACTGGTGTTTTCCTTATTTCAGCTTGTCGAGGTCAGGTAATGCTTGTGCTGCGAGAAAGATGTTTTGTAAACAATGAATCAAAGTTTATGATATCAGCTTAAATATTTGCATCTTCAATGTGATGTTTCGTTGAATAGCACATTCCTGTTATCGAGATTCAAGCTAAACATACTTATTCTCCTTGAAGGGAAGATATAATAACATTGGCTGAAAAATAAACAAAACAAGATTCCTGACAAATGCCAATGACAACAGTTTTCATCACCGACATTTCAACTGTGTAAACGGCAATGCGGGCAATAGCTATTATTACTCAATGATAATATAACTTGACGGCAGAAAAACCCAGTATGCTTAGAATAGGCTTCTTTGAAATATACGTAGCTGGGTTTTCTATCATAGAATTACCAACGAAGAGTAATTTGTCATTCTTCGCTATTCTTTTTATATTTGCTACTACCACGAGGATCATTATAGCCAGCAATTACGACCATTTACAATTGTTTGCAATCCGATAAAACTAAGCGTTGGGTGCAGATAAATGTGAGCGTGTCTTTTGAAATCATCTGTGTTTACTTATTCTTTCATTATTATTGTTACCGTTATTAATAATTCTAACGTTGCACTTATTTCTAAGATTACTCATATTTCTATAGCTATTAATGGAATAATACATAATAGCAATATCATTAGTAATAATTGTGATAATCATGATCATATAAAAGATATCGCTGTAGATGATGGTGTTGATGATAGTGCCGATAATAACAGTAATGATAATGATATCAATAACAATATTACCGATAATGACGATAATGATAGTAATAGTAATATTGATAATGATAATGATAATAGTAATAATCATAACGATAACAGTAATAACAATGATGCTGAAATTAATAATGATGAGGATGGAAATACTAATACTAATAATGATAATGATATGATAATAATATAATAATAATGATAATAATAATAATAATGACTATGATGATAACAGTAGTGATAATGATAATTATAAGGATGATGATGATGATGATAATAATAATAATATTAATAATGATAATAATAATGATAACAAACAATGTTAATATAATAATAATAATTATAATAATAATAATAATAATAATAGTCATGAGAATGATAGTAATGATATTTGATGGTGATGATAATGATAATGATAACAATAATAATAGTTATAGTGATAATAATGATATAGGGATAACAGCAACAGTGACAATGATGATAATAATTATGATAGTCATGATGATAATGATAATTTATGATAGTCATGATGATAATGGTAATAACAATAATAATGATAATGATAATAGTAACGATAATGATATTGATGATGAAGATGTTATCAATAATGACGATAACAGCATTAATAACAATGAAGATAATAATGATACTAATGACCATACTGATACTATTGCTAATACTATTCGTAATGATAATAATGACGACAAAGTTGATAATAACAATAACAGTGATCATGGTAATTATGATGATGATAATAATGATAATGGTGATGATGATGATAATAATGATAATGGTGATAATAATGATAATGACAACAATAACAATAATGATGTTAGTAATAACAATGGTAATGATAGTATAAATAATGATGATAACTATGTTGATATCAATAATAGCAATAACAATAGCATTAATATAAAAATAATGATAATGATAATTACAACAATAACATGAAGACAAAAAAATACTATCATTACTTTTAACATAAAAACATCGGCGCTCTCACACTGATTAATATTCATCCAAGCAAGGAAGCAAGCAGTGACACGTCGGGATGCAACGATGCTGCAAAGGGAACAACTTGCATGCTTGAGATCCGTGCACAAGATCGAGCAAGCCAGTGCATTCCGGCTGCCTTGACACCCTTGCCTCGACTTGGCCTTTGCTTGCATAGTTCAGCGTCGTCAGTGTCTCCTAGTCTTGTATCAAATTTTATTTTTTTTTTCTTGGTTTGATATTCGAGCTTATTATAAAGTCTAGAAGTGTTTGAAATCTTTTCCTTGGTCTGTGCATTTGTCGGTTTCTGTTTATGTCTGTCTGCCTGACAGACTCTCTCTCCCCCCCTTCTCTCTCTCACTCATTCTTATCTCTCTCTCTCTCTCTCTCTCTCTCTCTCTCTCTCTCTCTCTCTCTCTCTCTCTCTCTCTCTCTCTCTCTCTCTCCTCTCTCTCTCTCTCTCTCTCTCTCTCTCTGTCTCTCTCTCTCTCTCTCTCTCTCTCTCTCTCTCTCTCTCTCTCTCTCTCTCTCTCTCTCTCTCTGGAACAATAGCAAGAATTATGAAACTCGATGGCTTTGAAAAGAGAACGTAGGCCAAGGACATCCACAAAACTCTGTCCATTCATTTTCTGCAGGAATTATATCCAGTTTATATTGCATCTGACTTTCGTATTACTCAGTACACATCATCTAGCTATTATTTATCTTGGTACGTAACGGGATGATTTTTTATTAAGATTGTAATGAACGAGAATTGGTCATGCATCAAAATTAAAAGTAACACGCCAATACATTCAGTAATCGAAGTGTAATTCTGTATATTGAATTACTCTGAACTAATAGATATCATGAAAGCAATCACTGGCCTTATTTATACTTGCAAACCACTACTTACCAAACATATACAAAAGTAAGGCAGAAACACGCAAAGTTAAAGTTCACTGAAATAGCATAGTATCTTGAAGCTCTGCAGTAAAAGTGAACAAAGGAGCATATTGAAACTTAGATTTATGAGCATTCATAAGAAGGGTCGTATTTCAGGAGAACCAATATATTTCATTCTGAACTTCTGGACAAAGAGGTAAGTATAACAATTTTTGGGTTTGGGCGGGAATTTCCTGTCGAATGTGGCAGTGATATGCCGTAGAGTTTCCCAGCGGTGCTCGGTTATAGTTAGTTTTGATTTATTAACTATTCGAATGCACAATATATTCCAGGGCATATGTATACGTTATAAAGAAATAGAAGAGTGTATATACATATACAAATCTGAAAAAAAATAAAAAAAAATATGCATTCAGTACTGTGAATAATCAAACTTTTAAAATTCATTTCTTCCTAGTATTTCCAACGGACAATTTTCCACCATTTAACGTACGTTATTGACTAAAAAATTAAGCATCTTCGGTTTATGATCATCAAAACTAAGACGTCAATACCAACCTAAGATGGAAATCAAAACAAATAAAAAACAAATGACTAACACAAACTAAGCATTACTCCTACAACAATAATTTCCCATTTCCGGACAAAGAAGCAACACAACTCTGAGTCATTTTATTGCGCAAGATTACCGGTCAACTCGTGCCCTAAAATGCCGACCCTTGTTCATATTTTGCCCATTGGGTCTTAAGTCCATTCTATTCGCCGCACGCACTCCTCGCGGGCTGTAGCGAGATCCAAGCAATTGTGCAAAATTTACTTACACGATACAAATACCTTGGGTATCTTCTATCTTCCTATTTGTGTAACTTATTTTGACTAAATGAATACGATAACTCGGCTGAAGGAAATATTTTAACTACTGATAGTTTCTTTGTTGTGGCGCGTCGTTTGGTATTCGGACATCATTTTAATTTCTATGTAACATGCTACGTTGCCATCTAAAACCTCCACGGGCGAAAAATTCATGAAGTCTAGTCGCAAGCTCTTGAATAGCCCAAGTTTGCACCCGATATATCTCTAAAGAAACGCTTGACGTCATCATCAGCGTCTTGGTTAAAGAAAATGGGTGAGGTATAGCAGGTGCCCGCCAGGTCTTTGATCCGGGTGTTGGGGTCTCAGCCTCCGTTCCTTCCCCTGCTCCTACCTCCTCCTCCTCCTCCTCCACCTCCTATCCCCCTTACCCCAGCCTCTTCTTCCTCCTCTACCTCCCCCCTCCTCTCCCTCCTTCTTCCCTCCTCCTTCCTCCCTTCTCCCTCACCTCCATAGTAGCTCTTCCACTCGCCGATGTCCTCCCCCCGGCATCGAACTAATTATTTCACGCTCTTTATTTTCAGTAATGTTTGTTTCTGTCTAATATTTACGTCATCTTTTATTTTTACACTCACGATTCCGTCATTTTAGGGCATTCTGTGAACGCAAAAAATGGAAGAAAAATCACTCAATGAGTTCTCTTGCGCACACTTGGCACATGCGCGCCGGCAACAATCGATGCGATTTTCTTGTTTTATCTTATCATTATTTCCTGCCGCTTCTGGGATGCCCACTTCTTTACTCTGCTATTCCAAAAAGGCGCAAAAATATTCAAAGTCCAATAATAAAAATATTTTGCATCATTAATGCAAGTAATATATGGTAAAAATGTGAAAAACAGATGCCTACCGTATGCACCTGCGCTATGCGGGGAGGGAGACGCTTGGGTGGAAGAGCCAGAGGACTTCAAACGGTCATGGCTGAGTGTAGTGGACGGGTGTTGTGAGTCGCTCTCGGATTATTAGAGATAATCTGTGGTAAGTGTGTGTTCTGTGCATCGAATTTGCAGGAAATGGAAGGCTGAAATTTTGATCAATGATTCTTAAGTGATGGAATAACAGTGACGACAGCGGGAACGTAAATGTGAAGTGAAACATAGATGGCAGTGGCGGCAGAATCGGTTTTGTACCTGCTGTGGTTGTTACCTTGTGTTGGGTGGGAGGAACATTCATTTTATTGTGTTCGGAGCGCTTTGCGAGTTCAGTCTGTGTTTCCGTGTGTTGCGAACAAGGTGGAACGGCGAGCGGAGACATAACCGAAAGCAAGTGGTGCGCAAGTGAAGATAGAAAAAGATTTTTTTGTGTGAAAATTGAACTCCCTCGGTAGTGTGACCTCAGTCGGGGCAAGAGGGAAGCAGGTGGGCACGCTGGAACATGCCCAGGTGCTCAGGGTATTTCATACCTGTAAATACCGGCCAGCACAAGGAACTGAAGATAGACTCAGCGGAATTCACCCTCGCCGAAGACCTTGTATAACGCAAGCGCGGTCGGAAAATCATTTTTGGATCCATCTTCCCTCCCATTCCTGTGTATTTTGATAAAGGGAATTCCCGCACACCATTTACATTTCACCTGGCGAATGTGGGGTTGTAGAGATCGGGGTAGTTCGTTTACAAGCAGTGTGTATTGATTTATGGCCCGACTTTTATTGTCCACTATCTGTGCTGGGTCGACATGGGTCACAACTCATATTGAATAGAATTTTGAGCTTTCCCTGCAAGATATAGAACATTTTTAAAGTAGTTGAAATGGTGTAATTATACAGTTTTTAAATAAATAGTTCATGAAAATAGTTTTTTTTCCAATTGTGAGACTGTGTATCATGTGATGAATGAACTCATTCACCAAACCGGCATGGTCCCTCACGCATAAGATATATTACCACATGCTTAATATATCGTAAAGCATGTATAATGTATTGAATGCAGGAGCCTCACCATTCTTAAAGGTACTAATGTTCTTTCTTTGTTCTTTTCAGATTGTTAAGGCTATGAAGTGGAGTGTTGTGGTTTTAGGGTGTTGTGGAATGTTGCAGTGAAGTGTGTTGCGATGGACGGTACAATGTTGCCTCGCAGTGTGTTGATACGGCGTGCAGCTGTAGCCCTGGTGGCTGCAGTAGCCGTGGTGTGTGTGAATGCCGAGGTGTTGCCTGAAATTATGTACAGTGTGGCAGTGCCGCACGATGTGGCACCCGCTCACATCGTTCACAAAATCAAGTTGAAAGAGGGACAGGTCGTGAACCGGTTGATGGATACTCAGTACTCCGATTACTTTGCGGTGTTGGACAACGGCGAGGTGATGACGGTGGCCAAGCTGGTGCCGCTCTTGGGGAAGACGGTGACCCTCCGGGTGGCGACCACCTTCGAGGGCGGGGACAGCCAGGTCTATGTGATCAGGGTCGCCGTCAAGGACCACCAGACTATGCTTCGGTTTCTCAAACCAGAGTACGACGCCACCGTGTATGAGAGTCTGCCCGCGGGCACGGAGTTGCAAGGCCTGGACGAGATGGAGGCCATGGGCGAGGAGGATGTCAAGTACGAGCTGTTGGGCGGCCACTCCGTGTTTGCACTGCACCACGTGGGCGGCATCCCGACGGTGGTGACCCGCAAGAGTCTGGATAGGGAGGCACAGGACATGTACAAGCTCACCCTGCGCGCCCACGACAAGGAGGGCATGGACATGGCGGAGGCCAAGATCAACGTCCACATCCTGGACATGAACGACCACGCGCCGGTGTTCACGCAGAACATGTTCTACTTCTTCGTGCCACTCAACGTGACGAGGTTTGACAAGATCGGCCGCGTGACAGCTCACGACGGCGACGGCGACGTGGTGGTGTACCGCCTCGCCTACCCGTCCAACACGTTCACCATCGTGCCGCAGACGGGCGAGATCATGCTGATCGAGCCCCCGGAGACCATGGTGTACGAGCTGGAGCTGGAGGCCTTCGACAAGCGCAAGCCCACCCTGTACTCCGACACCCTGGCCAAGGCCCACATCGAGTTCCGTTACCCTGGCGACTCCCTCTTCACCGGAGAGACCAACGACGTGGACTATGACCTGTACCCCGAGCACGCGCTCTCCAAGCGCAGTGCCACCAGGGTCAAGCGAGGCCAGCTCAGGCACACGAAGGAACTGGTGTTCTCCGAGGCCGACGGGGCCGTCGAGGGCAAGGTTGTGTTCCAACTCGAGAAAGAGATTCAATGGGAAACGTTTAAGATCCGCGACGACAACCCCTGGGTCGAAGTGGACGCTAACGGTGCCGTGCGCGTCAAGAAGAAGTGGGACTACGAGGAGCTCGGTCCTGAGAAGACCATCGATTTCTGGGTGACCATCACGAACAACGATCGTAATGGTGAGTACAGACCCTTCTTTATTTCCACCTCCTTTCAGAAAGGTACGGCAAGTGGCAGGCAGCAACGAAAGGGCAGATCGGCCAGTCAGAGTAAAAATGATAATAAAAAAAGTTAATAAAATCAGCTCTGTCACCTGTGCCCGTGCAGATCATTCAGACGAGAAAGGATCGTATTGTTGGCGCGAAGGGGTGGCTGGCGCTCGTGTTAAATGGTAGGGAAGGGTGTTTGGGATGGGAGGGGGAGGGGCAGGGCTGACAACCGCACGACGCGATGAGACCAGTTTTTATCTGTCTTACTCACAGCGGCTAGCCTGTCGTCCACATGGCGGTGCTGGTGACACTTGGGTTCTAGCTTCTCATCATCCTTTGTTTTCCCTTTTATTGCTTCTGTATTGACTAAGTTTTCTTGCAATATCTCCCTCACAGCCGGCCTGGGAAAGAATCTATGCTGCCGTGTTGCAAGGGAGAGAGAGGTGGTGTCCTTTGGTACCCTTTTGCAAGAACAGGTCCCTCTGCGGAGACCACGAACCAATTTGTCACATTCATTTTGCAGGTGGACACCCCACCCTTCCCCTCCATTTCCGCTCTTCTACCTTTCTATTCTCCATCTTCCTCTTCTCTCCCATTTCTCTCCTCTCCCTCTTCTCCTATTTCTCCCCTCTCCCCCTTCCTCTCCCCACCCCTTCCCTGTCCCCTCTCATCCAACGGGTCGCGAAGGATCTCGGCTTAGGTCACCCACTTTCCCTCCTCGCCTCTCCTCGTTTCGTTCTTATTTTTTTCTTTGAGCTCCATTGAGCATTTTTTATATATCTACTGTGTGCGCGCGCGCCTGGCTCAGTCAGTCTGTCTGTCTTGCCAGTGTCTGTTTAATATCTGTCTGTCTTGTCTACTGTAAGTGCTTGTACATAGTTCATGTCACCGTTCTCGATGCTTCCCTTCTTTATTGCTCTAGACACGTCATTGATGGGAAGAGATCAGAATATTGTGAGTAAGGAAGCTGGGACGGCGAAATTTAACATCGAAACAGAGAGTTAAAGGAAGGAGTGATAGAGTGAGAGTGAGTAAGAGTGTGAGTGAGTGAGTGGGTAAGAGTGTGAGTGAAAGTGAGTGGGTAAGAGTGTGAGTGAAAGTGAGTGGGTAAGAGTGTGAGTGAAAGTGAGTGGGTAAGAGTGTGAGTGAAAGTGAGTGGGTAAGAGTGTGAGTGAAAGTGAGTGGGTAAGAGTGTGAGTGAAGTGAGTGGGTAGAGTGAGAGTGAGTGGGTGAGAGGCAGACAGACAGACAGAGAGACAGAGACATAGGAAGAGGGTGAGAGAGAGAAATTGGAATGAATGTCAATTAGCTTTGTCATTATCCGGCCTCTAATTGCTTGTGCTCGGCGTTTGCACAGCGTACGCCGGGTTGACTCAGCCGCGTCCCCCAGCTTAACTGAACGTCGCCCTCGGGTCTCGGGCTATTTGCTTGCGGGTTCCCTCATGCCACTTGGCGCTGACCTACTCCGCTGTTTGCCCTGGCTTGACCCGGGTAATTAGCAGTAAATTCAGTCCACTTACCGTTTTCTTTTTTTCCTCTGGTAAAGGTCAGGGCAATTTTGCTAATGTTTACCCGGCGAATTGCCCTGGCTCGCCGCTCGCATGACACGGGATGTCACACCGACCGAGGCCATAGCAGGCGGCGTGAGTCAACAGAGCCGGATAACTTTTTATTTGCGAGGTAAATATTTGTCACGCTTACTTTTTTTCTCTTCTCCTCCCTTCTCTTTTCTCTTCTCTTCTCTTTCTTTCACTGGCCCTTCTCCATCTTTTCTTTTTTCTCGCAGTCTTCTCTCGTGCCTCTTTTTCTCATCTAACCATTATTCTCTCTCTCCTCTCTCCCTCCCCCCCTCCCCTCCCCCCCCCCTCTCTCTCTCTCTCCCCTCTTCTCTCTCTCCTCACTTCTCTCTCTCCCCCCTCTTCCTCTCACTCCCTCCCTCCAAGACATCTTAACTCACCTTTACTATCTTACCTTCATCTCCACCCCCACTTCTCCCTCTTCTCTCCCCGCCCCCTTCTGGCTTCAACCCGATTTCCTTTTATCATCATCCTTCCCTTCCTGTCTCCTCTGTTCTCAAGCATTCCTCCTCCAGCCTTTAGTTCGACTCGGGGGAAATCTTTATAAAACACAGGTCATTTCGGTATTAAGCCGCATGCATGATGATAGTGTCTGGCCTACATTTTCTTCATTTTTTTCACGTCTGGTGTTAGTGTCAAAGGAAATGGTGTCCAGAGGGGCATTGTAAAGCTCGGATAGGCGGCTTAAGGAGATTATTTATACATTTTTTTATCTGTTGCGGGTGTACAGTGGTATGTCGCCCCCCCCCCCCCCCAGCGTAAGCCGATACGAGCGTCGGGCATATCCCTGTGACAGCTAGATTGACCCTTAACACCTGGTGCCGTAACTGGTCCCCCCGCCCCCGCAGTGCCAACGTTAGCTTCAAGCATTCCACGGTAACGCGATATCGACGTGACTCGCCGGCGCGTTGGGGAGGTCACGAAGGTCAAGCGCGAAGCCATCAAGAGGTCACCGGAAACCCCCGTCACGGTCCTACCGGTGCGAAGGGTCCCCCTCCCTTCGCACCGGTAGGATGGGAAGGGGTTCGTTGTCGCCGGGAAAGCGATGCGGCGAATTCGCGATGCAGCGGGTTTCCCTTTCCGCAGTCCCTATCCTTCGGCGCTGCCATTGTTCCCCACTGCCTTTTACGTCTGTTTGTTGCGTGTATTTGCTGTACATGTGGCACCTTCTCATATTCCCCGTCGTTATGATACATTATTCACACTCATACACGGATGCTCTATTCTTTTCCTCACACGAGTTGCTCTTTCATCCCCGACCTCATCTCGCCTCCCCCTTTGCCTCTGCTTCCTAGTCCTCCTCGCATACCCCTTCTTTCTCCCCACTGCTCCACTTCCCCCTACTTCTCTCCTCTTCCACAACATTCTTCTTCTGCTCCTCCTCTTCCCCTTCCTCCTGCTCCTCCTCCTCCAGCTCCTCGCTCGCCCCCTCTTAATCCTCCTCCTCTCCCTCTTCTTGCTCCTCTTCTTCCTCCTCCTCCCCTCCTCCCCTCCTCCAACTCTTCCCTACTCATCCAACTCCTCCCTGCCCCCCCTCCTCCCCGCAATTCCTCCCTGCTCCCCCCAACTTCCCGCAATTCCTCCCATCTCATCCAACTCCTCGCTGCCCTCCCCCAACTCCTCGTCCTCGACCTTGCCTCTCCTCCTCAGGACAGAAATGGAGTGGGGGACAGACTGAGGGCGTGAGCGAGGAGCCCAATATGCTGATGGCCGGCCCCGCATCCTTGCACACATTGTTGTTGTTTGGTTGCAAGTGGAAAGGAGGAAGAAAAAAAAACACACCATGGAGGGACATGAAAAGAAATGCAAGGAATGGAAGGAAAGAGAAATATATATTTTATTTTAATGTATGGTTGATGGGAAGTGCATGAGTGGCAGATGGCAGGTGGGGGTTCTTTAGGTGGGTTAGGAGGTTATGGTGAAAAGAAGGGGGATTAATGTTTTTTGAAAAACGCGAATTGTAGAGGAGGGAAGAGGTAAAGAAAAGGGAAAAATGCAACTCAAGACTATTGCAAGTCGGCGCAATGCGGGCTGATGTTCGCAAGCCTCTTTCATCTCGCGGTTGCATTTTTTTCCCCGACGTATTTGTTGCGCTTGTGTGAGTCAGCCAGCCTTTCGGACGTTGCTTTCGGCCGGGGGTCAGGCGGAGACGAACGCGCCGCAGTTTCAAGACGTCCTCTCTCGTCGCGGAATTTATTTCTTTGATGCCTTTACCTGTTTGTGCAAGTCGCCCAGTCGCCCTTTGTGGAGCAGTGCGCATTCTTGCCGCTATTCTTGCTAAAGCCCAGCCCCCCCCCCCTGCTGGCTGTGGCACTGGCAAAAGGCCTTGTATTATTGCTAACGGGCTCTTCGGAGTTTTCCCAGAACTTCCATTATCATAAGCTTTTCCCAGTGTGAATCACACTCGCGGCGCCGGTCGTTTGCTTCTGCGACTTGGCTTCTGGTGGTGCTCGTATTTATTCTTACCTTGCATTCGTTTTGTTTCGCCTGATGTTTTATTTATTTGTTATTTGGCCATTCAGAAATAATTCTTTTTTACGTCACAGCCGGATCGAAACTGCGGAATAGAGGAAGGCGATTCGTCACGAGGATGGTGGGCGTCTTAGATGAGTGGGCTGGGCTTCATAGTGTGATCATCTGCTAGTTCATGTGCGGGGGAGGGATGGCCGTGGATTTCGTCTGAGTCGCCCGTCTCGTGTTACGGTGGCTTGTTGTTGTCTCATTTGCACATTTCGGTTCTATCGCGATGTGAGATACGAGTCTTCTGACCAAGCGAGTCGGCCAAGACGCTTGAAGTCGGAAATATTTTCTTGCTGTCATTTCCCCTCGAGATCAGCTGATCACCAGTGGCGGAACTGTGTGAGTTAAAGGTAGTTGTAAAAAGTGCACTGCAAGCATATTGGAAGAGGCACAAAGTAGATTCCTGAGCGGGTAGAGGCTAGTGGGGGTGAGTACTGGGAGGGGCAAGGGATAATCCAGTGCGGTGTACCATTCCCACGGTGCGGCCAAGGTATGCTGGCGGGGGAGGGGGTAGAGGGCAGGCCGGACACCATGATGTAACAGAACAGGTATGTCCAGGTGAATCGCGTCTGTTACCCCGGGAGCGCCTCTGTCGTAAGAGATCGCTCACGAAAGTTACACGTTGTAGGAGATCTTGGTTGCGGGTGGATTTTGCGAAGATGGATGGGAAGAGAAGCTGATTAGATACTCGCATAGATGGGCACTCACGTGATTAGGGGTTTTAGAGCTGAGCATTTACATTGGTTATGGGTTTAGGTGGGAGGAATGTGCTGTCGCATGGGTTATAAACGGGTAGGCTGAAGATGAAAAGTATATCGGTGAAAAGCCATAATATTTTGTAGACTTTTTTGACGAAGCCGGCTGGTTGTCGAGTCGTATTCCGTCGCGTCGACCACGGATTCTCTCGAGGGTTGAGTTTGATCAGGGTTGCGCAGGGGGTCGGGCGCTCCATAACTTTGAATAAAGTCGGTATAAACTTCTTGTATATCGGCGGAACTTCTCGCAGACTAAACAAACTCGGCGTAGACGTGCAATGTACCCTCGGGGCCACGAGGCAGCAGCACACATTGCAAAGTTAATAGAATGCAAACGTTGCGAGTTCACGGCGAGCTGAAGATTCCCGTGAAAAAAATCTGTGTATGTGTGTGCGTGAGATCCGCTACGCACGTGTACGGTTAACCCCTTTTATGTGTGTATATGTGCAGGTGTGGTTGGATAATAACAGGTAAATGACTGTCTAGCACGTGATGGCGGTGATTGCGGGCCAAGGGACCGTGGATGGGTAGGAAGCAGTGCCAGGCGCCGTAGGGGAATATTATCCCATTATTTAGTTCGTGTAAAATAGTAGCTTTTATATTTTGTCTTTTTTTATGCCATTCCCATATTTTGTACCGTAGGACTTCCGTCCAGCTCCTCCGCTACTTCCTCTGCCTATTTTTTTTCCTTTATCATTTTTCTTATATCCAACTCCCATCTTTTTCCCCGTCCCTTCCCATCCCAGGACACAGTGCCTCCGCCGCAACTGCCACACGGCATGCGCACCAACCCAGGCTCTTGTTTTTATGAAATTCAATATCCGATAAAAGTTATGTCGTTTTGGAACTACTTTGGGGCCAAGCGGGTTGGTGGTTTGCTTGTTGCTACACAGACCTGTTTGTTTAGGTTGCCGAGGCCAGTACATTTAAATGGAGTGGGGACTCGGGAGGAGTGGAGGGAGAAAGTGGGAAGGGAAGCAGGGAGAGAGAGAAAGTGGGAAGGAGGAAAGGAGAGAGGGAAGGAAGGAAAATGGAGAGAAGGGAAATATGGGAATAAGGAAGGGAGAGAGGGGAGTGAGTGGGTGGGTTGGTGAGTGCGAATGAGTGAGGTTGGCGCTTTCGAGTGAGTGGAAAAAGGAGAGAGAGGACACGATGGAAGGTAATGGGATCGCAAGGTTTGCGTACCTGTCTTAGGACATTGTTTTTGTTGTGGGTTTTACGTTTTTGCCCGTTTGGCTTTTTGCCGTGGGTATGTGGGTGGGTTAGTGTGGGGAAGGGGGCGAGGGGAGGAGGGTTTGTGGAAGCGGAGGGCGTTTCTGAGAAAGTACAAGAGTGACTGGAATGTTTTTCGGTTCAAGTGTGTTTGTCAGCGTGTCAAGACGGCGGCAAAGCTCCGAGCGTGCGAGGAAAAGTGGGCGTGGCTGGGAGTGTGGATACGCTAAGGGCGCCGCAGGTGACTAGGGTCTCGTGATGGCTGAGTGACAAGCGTGTCAGCGCCGTCATGTGAGTTCTCGAAAGCGACGTTCATGCGGGATTGTTTTTTATAACGAAGACCGGTAATCAGGCGTGACCGGGAGTTCACGGAAGTTGGAGCATGTGGGGGAGTTCATGGTTGCGTGGGGGGGGGGGTCAGGGCTGTATGGGACCTTCTAGGAACGTCGTCAGGGCAGATCTTGCGTCAAGGAAATTTTAACATCAGTATAGCATTTTTATTGGTTATTTTCGCCGTGATTTTTCCCAGTTTAACTTTTGTACGTGTTTGTATCGTCATAGCATGTCAATATACTGAACTGTGGAAGGCAAAGAAGGCCGATAACAGAAGGCAAAGGGAAAGAGGAAGGGGAAAAGGGTTAGGGTGGCAGAGGAGGTGAGGGGTGGGGGGGGATTGCATCATTCCATGTGACTGCTCCGGTAATTTTACTAATGCTACGGCCGCATTATATAAATTGTTTGTGCGGTAATTATGCTTGGCCATTTACGCGTTGTTAATGAAATCTGTTGGGATACTAATGACGTTATTTTTCGGAACACAGGTGACGCGACGGGCCTGGGTTTTGCCTCTTGATCGCTGGACGGCTTCGGGCCCGGCGCTTCCAGTCGCTTTCGTTTGTTTCCCGCTCGGTTCGGGTGCGGCTGCCCCTTCCTCTCGGTGGCCCTTGCCGCTGCCCGCCTAGGCGCGTTACTGTTCGACCACTTCAGATGCTGGAAGTGTACTTGATTTCTTTTCTTGTTATTCACCTGTGTCACATGCGCACTGTTTCATCTTCATTATTTTTCCCTAATATATTTTTTTTACTTATTCATTCGTCTCCTATTCCACTTCCTCCTCCTCCATCCGCCCCCCTCTTCCCCCTCTTCCTCCTCCCCTCTCCTCCTCCTCCCTCTCCCCTCCTCCTCCCGCTCCCCTCCTCCCTCCTCCCTCCTCCTCTCCTCTCCCTCCTCCTCCCTCCTCCCTCTCCTCCTCTCCTCCTCCTCCTCTCTCCTCCTCCTCGCCTCCTCCTCCTCCTCCTCCTCCTCCCTCCTCCGCTTCCCGGGTGACCCTTAGCCTGCCCCCGCAAGCCCGGACTCTGCATGTAAACATTTTCCAGGCGCGGCCGAGGTTCGAGAAGCTCCCACTCCAGACGCGACCTTAATCACACCCTTCCAGACGCCAGGGAATGACCTTGTTGATCTGGGTCGCTGGGGGATGCGGGGCCGGGGAGGGAGAGGGGGAAATGGGAGGGGAGAGGCGGATTTGGGGAGAGGGAGAATGTGATGATGAAAAGGATGCGAGCAGATTAGATTGAGAAGGTGAAAACGAAGGAGGAAGAAAGATTGATAGATGAGAGAGAGAGAGAGAGAGAGAGAGAGAGAGAGAGGAGAGAGAGAGGGAGAGGGAGAGGGAGAGAGAGAGGGAAGAGAGAGGGAGGGAGGAGGGAGGAACAGAGATGAATAAATCAGGGGGGAGGGAGGTAAAGTCGAGCAGGGAGGACGGTGTGGAATTCACGAGAAGCGGGACAACGTGCCGAACGCGAAAATTGGGTCGGACAAAAAAAAATTCCAAGTACCTTCAGGAACACGCGCGCCTAGATCGGAAATCCTATTATAGCAAGCCTGTGTGTACAACCTTAACGTCAGGTAGAGTTTGAGGCCTCCTCTCGGGCGTCCCCTTGAGGCGTCCAAGAGGCTTGTGCCGGGATGTGTAATGGAGGGGAAGGTGGGGCCTCGTCGGTTAACGATGTCGCTTTGAGTCACACTTCCAGGCGCCCTCTCCAGCGGGAACAGGCACTCAGGCATACACGCCCACTCAAGCGCTCATTTGCATTTCCTCGATTTTACTGTTTTATTCAGGCGCACAGTCGCATACGGAAACACACAGCGGCGAATATGCTTATGCGCGCGTGCTTGCATCTCCGTCGCATTCCGGCTTGCGGAGGAGGTCCCGTTTGCGAAGAGACGGGAATCGTCGAGAATTATTCTTTGGAATTAGTCTGGGGATCTAGGGATCGCCATCTCAAGTTCCAACTGAATATTTTCTTTAGGGGAAGGGAGAGTGAGAGGAGAAAGGGAGGAGAGAGAAGAGAGAGGCGGGGGGGGGAGGGGGGCGAGAGGAGACGGGTTCAATTAAGTGCAAGAGCGAGGGCGTATACATTAATTGGTGAGGATGGTATTGACGCGAGAACATGCGTGACACCAGCAGGCGGTTGTATGTCGAGTCAAGATGATGTTGAGGAGAAGAAACGGAACCCAGAGGAATCCGGGTTACAGAATGTCACCTTGCCGCCTCCTCGATATAAAAAAGACAAAAAGAGCATTCGGAAATCAATAGGTTATTTTGTGTTTGTCAATGTTCGCATGGAGGCGAGTTACGGATGTGGAGGGAAAGCAGTGGATGGGGTGGGGGGGGGCGAGGGGGAATTGATCTGGGGGTGAGGGGCGGGTTAAGGGGGTGGGGGGGGAGGAGCAAGACTAGGTTACATGAGAGTTCAAATAATTGGAGGACGTTGTTTTACTTTCCGTAGTGGAATTATCGAAAACCGATCAGCCTGGGTGATTAATGGGTTGAGAGGGTCGTGGACTGCTTTGTGTTTTCCTATGATGTCGGAAAGAAAAATTGCGAGTAATAGAAAGGGAAGTCCGTGAGCGAGAGCGGGCGCTGGAAATCACACCGCTGGGGAAGGGAAGGGGGTGGGGTCTGGGGAAGGGAGGGGGGTGGGTCTGGGGAAGGGAGGGGGTGTCTGGGGGAGGGAGGGGAAGGTGGGGTCTGGGGGAAGGGAGGGGATGGGGGGGTCTGGGGGAAGGGAGGGGTGGTGGGGTCTGGCGGTAGGGAGGGGTAAAGGGGCGAGGGGGTAGGGCACAAAAGTCCGGCTGGATTCTTGCGCCTACAGCA